TGGAGCGGGGCGGGCGGGCGGCCGCTGGAGCGAGGGCCCGTGTGGGACGCTGTGAGGCGGAGCGCTTCTGCCCGGCGGCCTGCGAGCTTCCTATACGGCGGCGAGCTGGGTCCCTGAGGAGTAATGTGCTCCTCGGGTTATCCCGGAGAGGGGAGGAGCGCGCCGTTGCGTGAGGAGGGGCGGGTTTTGTTTCCAGCTCTGTCTTCCAGTTGTTGGATGGGACCGGGAAACATTTAAGATGGTGGCTCCTTGGGGCAGAGCCTTATCCGGACGGAGTTTGGGGATGTGATGTCCGCCGGCATGGGTAATACTTTCTGTGTGTTACATGTATGTTTTCGGCTTCCCCAGCTTTAGAAGGGGGAGTTCGTTTATCTCTGCACGCCCCACAGATAAAGCCTGTGAGGCTGTGTGGTAGGGGGTGGAAGAGTGACAGGAGCCATGTCGTGGGTGGGTTGTGCTGACTGGCACCTGGGTTTGGTGCTGCAGGCTGCTGTGGGAAGGTGTTGCAGGCCTGTGGTGATAAGGGCATGCATGACACATTCTGTGTCCATTTTCCATCAGGCTGTGTCTCTTCGTATTGTCTTCAGTGGGCATAAATCCTGTTCATATCGCTCCTATTTTTTGCAATTTAACAAGCAATAGTCATGTAAGTCTGATGCTATTCTTGTGTGTCTGCTAATCGTGGGCTTCTGAAGAACAATAAATAAAATGTGTAGGATGTTGCTGACTTCAACAGCAGTAAGGTGAGGCCGTAAGACTTGTGCTGCCTATATATAAGCTTGGGATGGTGTCCCAGTTTACAGCTCCTTATGCAATTTCAACGATAACTTATGTTAGAGCTAACACAGGTTCCCACATCTGCCAAGCTTTTGACCACTGCAAATTGGAGTAATCATGCCAAACAGTAGTAATGCAAAGGAAACTTCAATACACAAGCTTTGATTTTTTGGTGTTTAAGTCTCTTTCTCACTGGTTGCACATTGAGTTTAACTACCGTGTAAGCTGAACATAGAAATTGATTGTGTATTCTTTCTGCTTTTCCAATTAATAAGACATCTTTGCCAACAGGTTTTGAAGACGAAGCAATTTGTAAATAGCATGGAGGTGTTTTCTTTTTTCTTCAAAACTTAAGAGGAAGCTAACTGAAATGGCCTCAAAATCCACTACTATACTCTCTAGGGTATTTCTAATGAAATAATATAATCGAGTCCCTGATTCTTTATGTTCTTTTTTGGGCATTAAACCTGTATGTCACTGTTACTATTGCATTCATTCATAAATGAATTGTGAAGGGAAGTTAAGTGTATGTGGAATTAAAAACAATTTAAAAAAATCCATTTCTTTATAGACAGTTAAGTTGCATCCCTAGACTCTCACTGTTAAGCAGTTCCTCATGTAAGTGGTTTGTTTCATCAAAGCGCTATTCAAGTGAGTAAAGGTCTCCCAGTTTTAGCAAGGAACTGACAATATGACCTGGAATGATAGATGAACAATACACTATAGAGGTAATAGGTAGTTCTTTAACCTGATAAATATTATGGGCAAAATAATCATAGCAGGTTGTACAGCTAGATATAAACATGTGCCATCCTACTCTGCATAGTTAAGAAAATAAATTAAGCCTTGTCGGGAAATTTTGAACCAATTCAAGTGTAGAAAACTCAGGTAAATAAGTTGTGTATTGTCATCACATATGCCTCATCTTTCTGTCTCCTTTTCTTGTTCATACTCTGACATTTGATTCTACGCCGTAGCCACAGCAAGGCTTTTCCAGCCATATAAAAAAAGATAAACCAAACTAAAGCTGTGCTCATCTTCCATGGTGTTTCCTAAAATACCTTAGGAATTTTCTTTGTACCTAGATGCACATACTCATTTTTTTCCATGTTCATCTTTTGAAAGATCTGAGAGAAGACACTTTGGCCAACTGGGTTTTCATGTTAGATGTCTGGATGAATTGACTGTGCGTAGGCTAAAAGCACAACTGTTAACTTATTTTGAGGTTTACATTCTCACGTTATGGCATCAGAAACACAAACATTGAAAGCAAGCCCACAAGTAAACCAGACTGCTGGGTAGGATGGATTGGGAAAAGTGAGGCAAAATTGACCTCCTGAAGCCAAAATTGTACCCATGCACCTCTTTCCAACGTTGAAGTACTCACATGGAATGAGGTTGCCTCTTCGCCGCCATAGCTTGGGGTGTTTGCAGGGGTTTTGCAGGCCAGCAGAGAGAAATTTGGGCTGTCTGCAACTCTATTGCTGTACACAGTACTTGGCAGGTTTTAAAGAACATAGTCTTGACCAGTCCACAACTTTCTCTCTAAGAAATTTTCTAAATGTTTATAATTTAGTGGGATTTTCATGTAGTTTCTCATTTGTCTTCATCCTACAGCTATGTTGAGTCCAGATTCTGCTTTACTTTGGCTGCCAGCTTCTTTTGAAGTCCATCATAAAAACTTCCATCATAACATGCCTTAGTATAACATGCAAATGCATTGGCCCCTAGAGCATCCTTTCAGAGTAGATGTATTAATAAATATAATGCTTCTCTGCTGCCACTGGGATGGAAGATGTAATGGAGTCTGCATTCCTTAAGCAATATGGGTTTCTATTTTAAAAAGAAATACATTGTAAAGAATTCCATCAAACTGTTACAGCTTTGACTGCCCTTTGGCAAGAAGTTCACACGCTTTTCTAATTTAAATGTTACCTGTTTACTTGGCTTTTTTTAAGACAGAATACTTCTCTTCCCCTTTTTGTAATAGAGATAGTTGTAAAACAGTATTCATATAAGACTGTTGCCTGGGTTATATTTCAGAGATGTGTTTTCATTCTATTTTTCCAATAATTTACAGTTTTGGAATAGTAACATAAATTTTAAGAGGATATGTTTCAAATGAGGTCATCTTAATTCTTTACAAGTCAAAACAAAACATTCTTTTCCAAGATGAAAATTGTGAACTAAGTTCTTGAAATGTGACGTATTTTCTAAATCTTGTTTAATTTTATATATGTTTCTTGGGGACTGTTCTTATAAAGATTTTAAATTTTCTTCCTCGTTGTTTTATATAGTGCTTTAAACTATTGTTAAGATTTAGGAATGTGCTTAAAAAGTTTCAGTTGTCTCTGGGAAAAGTAGTCTTAATTTATGTTGACCTTTCTTTCCTTTGAGCATTTAGTCTGCATTCAATAAAATTTTGATGACTGCTCTTTAGAAGACAGCTGTACGATATAAAGTATTATAAATATTCAGCTTTCCTCTTCTAGCGTTGCCATTAACAGCTGGGCATCCAGTTCAGCAGAGCAGATTTTGCAGAGAGCGCTTGGCATGTTCCTGAATCAGTATAGTGAAGAAGACTAGAAAATAGTTTCTTATGGTTTGGGGACCTGTAAAGACATAGAGCATCTGTTCCCCAGTTAAGTCATAGTCTGGTAGCACTGAATCATGTTAAGAGCTAAAATGATGGGAAGAACTACTTTTTTCACCTTGGCTGTACCTGTGTTTTAAATGCCTAATACATTATGTCTACTAATGGCAAAATAATTTCAACCCTTGCTCAGAAGGTATGTAAATGATAATGCTTTTGCGTTTTTTCATTGTTTATTGTCTTTGAGGAAGAGACAAATATACAGTGCAATTTCACTTCGGTGTCTTGATTTTTATCTCTAGTATAAAGTGGAGAATTGGATTTTCTTATGCAAACACTTTATCCTTCTAAACAAGCAGTATTTTTGGTATGCAGTATTTTAATCAGTTAATGTATTTGCTTTGGATGACATTTGTTTTCTTGTGTAATATAAAAAAATGTGGAATGCAAGGAAGGAAAATGTCTATAAAATTACCAATTATAGACCTTACTACCAGAAATCTTTGTGTCTAGATGCCCATAAAACTTGTCCATATTTTTCTCTTGCAGAGTTAAGAGAGCATTAAAGTTGGACACTGTTAAAAAAGATAATGTAAGTATTTTTTGATTTATGGAATCATCTGGGCTGTATATATTTGTATGTGTGTATATATATCTGTATGCACACATATATGTGTATATACACATGATATTTCATTAGAGCTGCATTTATATTGTTACAGATTGGATGTTGTCTAGAAAAATCTTAACAAGGCACAAAATTACTGCTGAAAATATTAGTGTAAAATGTATTGTATTCCATTTGTAATAGAACTGCCTGGCTTTAAGTAATGTACATCTGCATAAATCACTTGAAAATAATGGAGAAACAGCATATTTTTATTGCCATCACTATTTACCCAAGAGCTGAATGAGTTAAGATCCTTGGTGAAATCATTTATTAGAAATTAACTCCATTATCCTGCAAGCAAATGTTCTGCCATGTAATTGTACATGTAACAATATGGAATTATGATAATGCTGTAAGCTGCATATTATAAACTGCAAAATTGAAATGAAAACATCAAAGGCATTTTCATGTCAAGGATATAATTACCTCCCTCAGCTAATCTGGCATAATGAAACAATAAAGTACTAACACTGCGATAAATTTCACCACAGTTATCACAATAAAAATAAAATTGTACTGTTGCTATTATTTTTTGTAAATGCAGGTATACTATACTCTCAGTACCAGTGTGTCATGACATATGTCAGTTTATTATCCGCTCCTACCAACTGTGGGTGTTGCTGCAGACATCAATACAGAGGAGTTTGTGAGGATGACAGTGTTTAAAGGAAGGAAAAATTTGGAAAAGTATAGAGAGAGAAATAGCTGGTCAGCAAATGAGCTCCAAATAAATCTCCACGTCTGTGTCGTTTTGAAGAGATTTGTTCATATGCAGCACATATTTGGAGGTCTCACTGGTATTTAGCAAGACAGAAATTTGCAATTTTAAAAATTTTCTAGATTCTTTTTTTTTTTTCTAAAAACTTAAACAAAGGTGGCAAAATACCGCAGTGGCACTAAAAAGAAATCATTAGCAATTTAATTAGCAGCTTAGTGTACCATTACCCAACTTGTTCCGCTCAGAATGCAGCTGTGACTGTAATTTTGCATCTGTTTCTTGGGCTGTAGCAACATTTTTGTAGGTGAGTGGTCCAGCTGAAATTGCATGGAATTCTTTTTCTGCCTTAAAGGTATTCCCTCCTTGCCCCCTCCCCATAAGATAAAAAGAAAGAGTTACTTGATGGTTACCTGCATTCAGGTTCTTGTGCAGCAAAAAACATAACAAAAACCCATCTGCATGATAAAAACTTTTACTGGGATCTCAGTAATGTAGGTTTACGCTACAATTTTTAGGTCATATGATGCCTCTAACAGATACATGGCAAAGATTTAAAGTGTACCATAATTACATAATGTTATAGAAGGTAGGAAGGAACGTAAGGTAATAAACACATGCAATTTGTGGGAAGTATCTGTTTTAGCTCTGCCACATCTATTGCTGTTTCTACAATTTCTTTCCTGTTATTCAGGAGGACCTCATTCCATCTGCTGGTTGGACTACCCAAACCATGCCTGAGCTATCCAGATCAGAAATAAGTATTTTTAGGTTTTGTAATATTAGTATGGTATCATAAGACTCTTCTTCCTGGAAGAGAAATTCTTACTGCCAAATAAATACTGTCCCTCTAAGTACTACAGTAACTTTTTCCAGGTAGCTGCTCAAAGGACTCTTAGTTGATATCCAGAAATATGGTGGTTGAGGTGACTACTGTTCAAGCAGGAAAAATATTTTGAAAGTGTAAGCAGGTTGGAGATTCCCCCTTTTACAAAAGAAATCTGATAGCATTTAAATGCCTAAAGTGGCATTGATACTTTACTATAATTAATATTTCATTTAAAGATTATTTGAAACATTTCTTCAACCTGCTTGAATGTGGCAAAACATTAGTGACAACTGACTGAAGATTTCCATCAGGTATTGATTAAGTACTGATAGACTGCAAAAAGAATATGAATGCTGATGCAAAATTATTTAGGGTATTCAAGACTAAACAGAGTAATTTCCAGGAGCTATAAGAAAGGTAGGTAAGTGGGCAGTGAATTAAATCTTTTGAAATACGGTGTTGATGTTACTGATGACCAATACTAACACTGTTAGGTTCTAAATTAAGGATAACCACTCAAGGCAGAGTAGGAGAAGAAAAACATCAAAACTGCAGCTTTGTGTAAAAGGGCACTAAGGTATGTCAGAAACAGAATAGCAAGCAGCACTGGAAGTACAATGCCATTACATAAATCAGTATTTTGTCTTCACCTGAATTAGAATTGAATGTACTGTCATGCTGTTCTAAAGTATAATTGCAGAAATTATGCTTTGAACCTATGTAATTCTGTGAAAGACAATGAGGGTGAACATAGGCTGTCATACACGTGGCACAAGAAATGCCTTCAAATGAAGGAGATTAAAAGATCAGGATGTTTTAATAGGAGTTCAGTAGTGAAGAGCAGGAAATGGGTATCAATATGCTGTATGCTTCTTAGAGGGAATATTGATCATTCTTTATACTTTTGTATCATCAAGAGGAATTTAATAACATTGCAGCGTGGAAAACTGAAAGCCAGTAATGGAGGCTTATCTTTTATATGGCACGTTAACTTCTAGAACTCATCCTGAAATTTTGGTGAAGTCAAGAATGTAGTAGAAGATGTAATAAAAACATTCATTCATACAGATAACAAGAATATGCATATCCACATAGGTGTGAAAAATAGGAGTATTGTGCTTTAGGACAGTTACATCAACTGCTAACTGTCTGGAATTGAGAAGAAAACTTCTGAGGTTTACATAATTGTCCATTACACTTCTAGGTGCAACTTGTATTCCTAGTTTTGTATTGCCTCTGTAAATGTATACTGTTTAATCTGGTTTTAAAAGGAGTAGCATGAGGGTCCTATTCCAGCAAAACAGGACAACATATGATTAAGTATGAAAAGGAAATAAATGCATTATTAATTTGAAATTGCAGTGGAAATGTCAGTTACCAAAGTGCAAATATCAGGTAGTCTGATTCCTCCCCACCCCCAACTTGGTTTAAGTTCTGTGTTCTTTAATGAATATAAACCCCAGGTCCTCACCTTGTATTTCGTTCATGGTATTGAAACAGTGTAATATGCTTACCTAGTATACTTTTTCTAACATTACTAAATGGAATAATAAATGGAACTTAAAGAGATTACGGAATAATCATGCACAATAAAGCTTCCAGTGAAGAAATACGGTTTGAAATTGAGTGACTGTTATGAGTGACATGAAGACAAATGATAGATGTTCAGTTTTACAGATGGAATGAGACTGAAGTTGGTAGAAAAGGCTGGTGGTTTGGGAAGCGGATGAGTCAGTCCTTTGGTTACTGCTGTTGAAAAATAGAGATAAATGAATTTTCTCCTCAAACTCAAAGCCCCAGGATTATAAAAAATTAAAAAATGAAGAAATCTCTTACTCTGTTTTTCTGTGGGGTTTGCTTTGATGATACTCTGTTGCCAAGAGAAAAAGAAAGCACTAAACTGTAGAAAACAGTGTCTGTTTCTCTGCCTTTAGACAGCCCTTCTTCAGCCCCTTGAGAAAATTTTAAAGGGGCTGGAAAAAAGTGGTTTTGCCCAAAATGTCCCTTTATTCTTTGCATAACAGATCTTAATACAGTTAAATCAGTTGTGCACTGCTTGCATTCTCCTCTTTAGAGGTGGCTGGTCTTGTCTGGAAGCAGTAGTTTACATGCCTGGGGACTATCTCCTTGAAACGAAAGGTAGGGAAGAATGGGAGAGCTGTCATTCTGGAGCCATGTTTTCCAGCTCGCTACATGGTGTATCTTCCAGCTCTTAATTATTGGATCAGCTTGTTACCTAAGAGTGAAGTCTGCAAATTGCTTAATACTTGAAATTCAGCGACCTGGAAAATCCTGTAGCCACTTGATCAGTGGTTTCTAAGAGCGTAAGATAACGTTAAGATGCCGCTTATGCCAATGGAGCCTCCTTTAAATGCTACCTGTGTTGTTTCTGTGTTTGTCTCCTTTTTGAGAGTCATTGATGGTGTTATTTAAAGCTGCTGGAATCAAGTTGTTACTAGAGCAGAAGGGGGGGACACACTTGGGGGTTTTTTAATCAACACTTGTTTAGAAAATCTTTAGAAATAACTATCTTTTGATAGAATTAAAATCTAAAAATACTTGCTTATAGTTCATGTGTCTTAAATTCTCAATACTGTAGGAAAAATAATATCAGTTTTTGACTGCTTTTGAAAAGAAAAAAACCCAAACAAACAAAAAAAAATGTATTCATGGCAGAATACTTAAGTGTCTGGAAACCACGTACTTTTTGTTTTTGAAAACTGGGAGGGCTAGTGTTTGAAGGGCTTTTTATTTTTTTGAGTAAAACTAATGTTTAATGAGGAGAGAGAGTGATAAGAGAGGTAGGCACTGGGCAGCCAGTGAAGGCCAGCCCACCACAACATATAACATGAGCTTTCCATAAAGGGGAGTACGTAAAGTTAGGGATTACTTGGAAAAATCTATTACCAGATAGTAAATGTTCAGAGAGACTTCGTCTGGTTTGGGGTGCAATATGTAACTCTACTGATAGGAAAGGTAGAGGCCGGAACATGTTTAGTCTGCAGAAGGGCAGTTTACAACTGTTGTAGGTTTAGGTGGACATAGGTATTCCTTTATCTCTAGCCGCTATTCATCTAGATTCTTTGTCTTTTGCTACATTTTAGCCATCTGATGAAACACCTTTGAAGACCAAAAAGAAGAATCTAAAATCTTACTCACCGACAACAGGAACATGCCAAATGAGTCCATTTTCATCTCCCACGAGTCATAATGCACAAACTCTCAGAAATGACCCATCAAATGGTTAGTTGAACATTCTGTCTTTCTTACTGGAACATTTTTCTGGTTATTGGCTTGATTTAGTAACTTGTGTCTCATGTGGTATGTTTGATTTCTTTTCCTCTTAAAGAATTTTGATCTCTTTTGGAAAAGCTGATGTTGATTTTTAAAGCTTGAATCTTTTCAGTATAAATCTTGAGGGTGTTTATGAAACAAGTTTTGCTTTCTGTTGATCAGTATTAAAAATATTTTACTTTGGCTCAGCAAAAAAACCCTACACTGGCATTTTTGTCAATAATTCCATTAATTCCACTGGTTAGGTATGTTTATGCTAGCAATGTCCTTTCTTTGCTTTCTTTCTAAGTCCCAGCTTTCATCGGCAGAACTGGTACATGCTCCTGACAGTGACTTTGTTCTTTGTATTATACAGGGAGATGTTCTGACGTTGCTGTGTGCTACTTCAGGTTATTGCACGGAAGTCCTGGTTTGCTTTTGCAAGGCAGTGCAATCCATTGTTTATAATACACAGCTGACATCTGGACTGTCTTGTGGTCAGGAAAGCTGGAGAGAAAATACGTGTCCAGTTGATGCAAGTTTCATTTTGTGGCCTTTTGAGAACTGTGTTGAGATTTGCAATGAAGTCCTGGTTTATGTACTTCCAGGTTTCCAGTGGTAAATACTTGCATGTATCCATGCATACATACATATATAGTATTTATCAGCTCAGAGTCTTTCTCTATGAATATTGAAGGTTACATGAATTTATCAAATCAAAACTAAAAGGCAAGTTCAGTTAGTTTAACTCTTCTGCTTTGCATTCTTTTATGTAATTTTTTATTTTTGTTTTTCATAGTAAGGCACTTCAAGGCAATTTTTAGTTAATCTAAGGTAACACTGAATGTCATTAGCTCTCAGAAAATATGCCTTTTTACAATTATATTATTTCCAGTCTACTTTAGGATATATGTCTATTCAGTTACACAGTCACAGTTTTTGATGCAAACTATGACTGCTCAAGAAGTATATTTTCAGTAGACTAACCTGCTTTTATGGCTATATAGGTTCTGGTCTTTTTAAGTGTTAAGGAACCATTAGGTCACCTGATGTGACTTTTTTACATTAAAAAAAATACAAAGAGACTTCTTGTCATCTTTCCCATATAAAGCCCAAGAGCTTTTATTTCTTTGCAGGAAAAATTCCTGGAAGATGGTTAAGTCTTGATTTGCAGACTTCAAATTATTTAAAAAAAAAATAATAAAAATCCATCACTTCTCTTGTTAGCAAGTTCATTGTTCAATTACCTTCACTATTTAAAAAAAAAAAAATCTCCTGTCTGATTTTGAATTTGTCTGGCTTTAATTTTCAGCCATCAGTTCTTGTTATGCTTTTTTGTTGGGTTAAAGAGCTTTTTATGCCCCATATATTTTGGAATTTATGTGCGGTAATTGAGGCCTCGCTAACATTCATGAATTATGATGAGTAGAAATATTCTGAGGAGGATAGAACAACCACTGTTTGAAATTTATCTAGATGTCTGCAGATTTTTGCACTAGCTATTGCACCATATGCTCTCGTGATGGGTCTGCAAAATTTTCCTGGATTTTTCCTCCAGGAAAGAAGGGATTTTTTTTTTTTTTTTAAAGGAATGTGATCAAGACATTTTGGGATTCTGTCAAAGCTGGCTGACCAAAAAATGAAAATTACTGGAAGCCTTCAAGCTGAAAATACTACAATCTGTGAGCATTACATCTCTTTTCCTTACTAAAAATAAGAGTACTTGAGGAAGCATGGAAGTATTGGGCAGTGTATCTATGCATAGTTACAGGCCTGTGTGTGGAGGTTTTGTTTATTTTTTTTTTTTTCCTAATTAGTAGTCATGCTAGGAAACTAAACAGAAGCAGCTATATCCTAATTCGTTATCATGCTGCCAGTCCTCATTATGACCTGGCTTTGTGTCCTCGTTACCTGTTTGTCAAACAGTTTTAACACAGTTGAGTTTTTCATGAGCATTTATTGACAGGCGGAATATTCACAACTTCCCTACCAAGTTATCTGCTGATTCCAGTTCTCCCCAGATTTGCTGTTCTTCTCCACCAGTGATATGCTTTTGAATTGGGCGTTTGCCTCTGGAACGAGTACAAAAATGACCGTTTCAACCATTGACATTCCAAGAAGCCTTTGGAGGAATAATTATACTAATTTCTCCCCATTCTTTCAGTGAGTGATGGCACGTCTCAACTAGTTGTGCGAACCTGGTATATTGAAAGAACCTGTATGTTAGAACACCCTTGCCTCCACAAAATTTGAAATATACGCAGCTGATGCATGTTTAATTTTGTGGCCTTTTGAGAACTGTGTTGAGATTTGCAATTAAATGCCTGGTTTGTGTACTTCCCAGTATGGGATGGAGGGAGTAAGCCTCTGTCTACCAGAAAGTAAGGATCTTTGCCACACTGCCTACCCTGTCTTGTGAACAATTCCTCCTCTCAAAACTAATGGCTTCTTGATTCCTAAAAAGATGATTATTTGGCACAATGGGTATCTCACACTCCCATTAGTTCACATCCAGAAATCTTAAGTGACATTTTATCAGGCCTTTAAGTAGACCCCTGCATTCTTAAAATACTATAAACAGTTTCTCTTTGGGATTATTTTTCTCTTCAACAAAGTTGTTTAAAGCATCGATGTTAGTATTCCCACAGATATCCCTGGTTATGTGTTGAATTTTCTCCTTGTAGTTTAAACCAAGTTAGATAACAATCTAATCCCACTGTTTTCCAACTTTCTTCTTACTGTGAAAAGTAACTCTTCCAGTGAGGCAGCATTCTGACTTAGTTTGTTAGGGAACTTGTGTCTGACATGTAAATTTATCTACTCTGTTTTTCTATAGAGAGAAAGGTATTGTCAGAGTATTCCCAGATCAGATTTCTATGGCAGTCTATGCTTTCATCAGTAAGAAGGAAATTTTGTGTTTGCATGTATTAACTCCTATACCAGTCTTGGGATTTGATGGTACTTCCTGGATGAAATGAAGAGCATATGTGTCTTTTTTCCTTTTTTTTTTTTTTTTTTTTTTTTTTCCCCCTCCTAGTAAATATCAATCTCTTCATCCTGTGCAATGAAACCTTTCAATGAGAAGAGTTGTCAATAGGTGTTGTCCAACAGATCAGAGATATGTCTGTTGTTAGTGCAATCAGTTGGTATGCCTGTACTGGCATCTGTCGTGTCATGGAAAGGTGAGGTCATACCATACTTTACTTAATTGTTTTGTCATGACATGGTGTCCTACATCCTCACCCAGAATGGAGCAATAAGTATTCAGATTCAAGCAAAGTAACTGCATGTTATACCTAGCCACTGATGATCACTGAATTAAGATTGCCTGTATCTTGAGGGAAGAATCAGATTAGAACAATTTATGTCCCCATTGACTACAGCCTGAGGCACTGGGAGCAGTAAGCTTTCTGTTACTGTTGCCACATCACAAAAGCAGTTCTGAAAAAAACCTTCTACTTTTTTTATATACAAATGCAGATTTTAATTTTGTGGCTGTCTGCAGAATATGAAACTATACCTCAGCGTGGCTGGATATCCACCTGCAATTTAACACTTACCTTTGCAAAAAGCTTTTAAAATTGTATATAATGATAGCTGTCAGATACAAAATTAAAAATGCAATGCTCTTTAGATATGTTCTCTTCAATATGTCTACATGTTTGTAGTTACCTCCTTTAATGGCCTCTTTCCTTTAGTTTTAGTCAATGACTTTTTGGTGACACAACGCATGATAATACACAAATGTTTAAATCTACTACAAGTTTTAAAACTTTTTCAGCATTTCTGCATTTGCATTACATGTCTTATCTCTTCGGTAAAAGAAAAAAAGAGAGCAAAATGTCTTGTATTAAAATGCCTATATGTTAGGATGTCAATGGGAAAGGTGAACATGTACTGTATTTCCATACTGATATTAAGTACGGACATGGGGGAACATTCTTTTTGCCTATAAAAAGACTGATCACGTGATCATAGCTGACATTTAGATGGATAATTATTCAGTAATACAGTACTAGCCATCTATAGCTCTAAGATGGTGGTATACAAGGCTTGCTCTTATACCACAAGTTTCAGGTTGTCCTTTTAAACCCACAATTTCTTTTCTGCTTCTGAAAAGACACTTTTAAGTGTTGTAGTGTTTTAACAGATTATGCGTATCACCTGTGAGGTGTTAGAGTATAATCTACATTCTATTTTTCTGTGACCCATATGTAAGAAAAAAACAGAATGAAAATTATTACAAAATTAATGCCATTAGCCATGAAAACTTACTTTGCATTGTGCAAAGCACACAACATTGCATATGTCTGTCTCGCCGAGGAGACAGATGGAAATTACTTGTTTTACGAACATGACTTTCTTGTGAATAACAGTGTGGAGGAGTGCCTCAGGAAAACCTAAATACCTACAGAATGCTTAGATTTTTTGAAAGTAAGATTTATTTTAGGAGAAGACATGAACCAACCCAATTATAGGATAGTGTGTCTTTATGATGTTGTCCCAGGTATGTCCTGTTGAGCTGCCTGATAAATCACATATTGCCTAACTACCCAAAATCTCACAACCCATTTATTACATAAATTTCTAAAATAACAGAATACTGTATCTTCACTAGCTTTTCATCATTGTTGGCTAACTTATTTTTAAGATTTATTTTAAATCAGTTTATTTTTATTCAAATCAGTCCAGGGTTCTGCCATTCCATAGTACTGGTCTAAAAGTAGTATCTGTTTGATAATTGATGACTGATTTAAGTGCAAGTTCTATGAGTACTTAGATTTAAAATTAAATCTTTTGGGGTCTTAACCTTTAGCTACTGTAGTGGAACAGCTTAAACTTTTATAGTACCTTGTTGTTCTGAGGTATTTCTAAATGTTTTACAAAATATTAAAAGTTAATTTATCCTTGAGTGCTGATACTTGTATGTAATAATTTAGTTCTAGCAAGAAGATATCAAAGTGTTCAATGCTTAGTGTGGTCTCTCTTTTTTAGTCTGATGTCAGAAAGGAGACTTAACTACACTGGAATGTGAAAAGCACCTCATTCCAGAGGGTCTGTTCTAGGATCAATGCATTTATTTGTTAAGGGCATGGTAAAGACCTGCTGTAGTTTCCTCCAAATCTTTCACTTAAAGGTGAATTTCACCTTACAATAACAGCTGTTTAATATGAAGCATTTGTAAGAACATGTATGCATCTGCTGGAGGGACAGTAGTTAAGCACTAGTTTAAAACAACTTGTGAACTTCTTCGGCACCAGAAGAAAAGATCTTTCTCGGGTTTTGGATATAAGAGTACAGTCTGATTGGCCTCAAGTTCAGCGAACTCTAAAGCTGAACTACTGGCATGCAATTCTAAGTCACCTATTGTCAAATGCACTAATGATCTTACTGTTTTCAGAAAAAAAGAATTAGTGCATGATTATGCTTCTCCTCCTTCATATGTATTGCATACACCTCCACCATTTTGTCTTTAATGAGTATAAGATCCAAAAGAAGTCCATTGCACAGGAGAATAAACTGTGTCCAAAAAAGGGAGCATTTACATTGCAGCAGAGAATGAGAGACTGACCGTGTGACTGGTACTGCTGAGGGGGGAGATTCTTAAGGTGGAAATTACAAAAAATCCATGTTGTACAATGTCTTCAACTTCAGCCACAATTAAACAGAAATAATTTCTGTGATTCAGATGTGACCTCTTTATTGCTGGAACCTAGGCGGGTATAACACTTAAAGTGTTGAAAGGTGACCATACAGATTATGTGGAACACAATACCATGAATAGTTATGGCCTGAACAGTTTCTGTAGGTTCACCAAAGACTACTGTACTGTGTGATCCTATCAAATGTGACAGTATATACTATTTTTTAAGTATTAGGAGGGATGCAGTACTTTTTTCTGCTAGTACATCACCCTTGATATGCTAATTGGAGGGCAAGCAGAATTGACAAGCTAATGTGCTGACTTTAGAAACAATAGTAATTGATATATAAGATAAAATGTTAATCTGGTTTTGTTGTAATATGATTTCTGTCTGGATTTTATAGGTTGTGGTAAGTCATGTTAATAGATGGAAATTCAGAAAGTCTTTTGTGATCAGAGGTGTATTGTTATACATAACGATATACATAATGAGGCCTTTGTAAGTATCTCAAGTAGATAGCAGCCAGTGAGCCAAAGATGTTATTTTAGTGCAGCACTTTCTTAATCTAATCAGCATCACTGAAAACATCCCCCTGTCTACCTGCTTTGGGAGAACAGCCTGTATTAGATACTTGTCTTGGAATCTGGTCATTTCAGAATGCCCGACCTACAGCGGCAGAAAGGCAGTCCACCAGTTTGCCAACACCACATGTGAGCCTAGGTTTTATTAACAAGCCCATGGGAATGGACTTTTGTGGTAATACCCTATTCCTGTTTCCTTATAGAAACATGCGTCTGCTCAAAATACCAGTGCACTGAAATGTAGAAATATGACTCGCCATGCAGAATAATGGCAACTGGCATATGATTTGTCATGCCCCATCATATGACGAGCTAGAATATTTTATTGTCAATATAGCATGTCAGAGCCTTTGGAAGTAATTTGCAGTATCTCTTTGTAGTTGTTTACAAGATGGAGTTGGGGGCCAGGCACTTTTTATTAAAGGAAAATGGAGGTTTCATTGCTCAGTCATTACAGTATTTTCATAATAATGCTCTCTGCTAATATGCTGTATTTAGGCAGTTAATAGCATAAAAAGCTTCTGACTAGAACACAGTAACTATGTGTCAGAATTAGACTAACTTCCAGTTCTTAATACTATAATTCCAAAGTTTCCAGAAATATAAACGTAATGTGAATTGATGAGAGGTCAAGTTACAATAGAGTAAATTATAGAGAACTTAGTGTGCTTCATTACAGCGGAATCTATCCTGCTTCATAAGTGAGCATCGGGGGGTTTTTCTCTTCCTAAAAGATCATTGAACAGTCAGGGTTCATACTAACACCTTTTTCATGTGCTTCAAATACTCGATATCTTATTTTCATCTTTATTGTTTCTTTTCTTTCTTGTGAACGTCCTAGGAGGTGGAACGGAGCAGAATAATTCAGAAAGCAGATTATCCAGAAGAGGGCAGCCTCAAACAGAGGAGGATGCGTAAGTGTATTAAGTGCATTGTGGGTGTAGTGCCGTAATTTTTACTTATGAAAGGTTAATATTTCATTTAGAATTAAATTCATAGCGATTATTTTTTAATACTTCTAATTCCACAGGATATTCAAAGGCACTGAATGGCAGGCTTACAGTTATAGGTACAGATTAATGCAGGGTTTGCAATACAACTGTCCAGCCAGTTCTGTCTTTCACTGGTAGTGTGGGGCATATGACACTGCTAATTATAAGAGTCACAACTCATAGAACTACATAATGAACATATCCTAATTAAACTACTGAAAGGAAGGTATGTTTTGCCTTTCCAGACACTTCTGAAAGTGTACATTCCTTTACCTTATTTTTGGAAGCATTAACTACCAAAGATACAGGGCCAGTAATGCAGGACGCTTTTTGATTAAAAACTAGCTACAGATGGTCGTGGTGAAACTTCATGTTTGTTTTGCAAAGTCTTTTAAAATTCTTGCCTTTTCTGCCACAATCTTACTTTAAGCTATAAGTTTTCTGACATTAATAGACTTTGGGCAGTCTAGTTAGTAAAGTACTTAAAGAAATGTTTCAGGAGAAGTATCTGATAAACTGCTTTCCTGAACTTGATAGATGTGAGGAAGAAGTGATAAAATGTGTTAGAAGCAAGGCTGCTAGTGTCTCATGTTGTTAGTATTGCTTGATCTTTTCTGTTACGAAAAACATTTAATTGTTTATAACATTGCTAGATCTCAGCTGAAAAGTGAGGTGTCAGGCTATACGTTTTATGTATTTCAGCCAAAATAAACACCTCCATCCCTAAGAGTAAGACAAAGGAAATACTTGTTTCATCTGTGATAGAACTTGGTGATAAATTGGAAAGCCGTGAATCTCTGTAAGTTGGATTGTGTCAGGGATGCCTTTCATCTTTATTACCTAATTTGGAAGTCCTGGAAGTTATGAGATTTTTTAATATGGAAGTTGTATATGCTCAGTAAAACTACTTTGAGTTTAAGCTTTAGTCTAGCTAAAAATCTGAAAGTTTCCTTCCTCAATGAGCATGTTCATACTTCTTGCTGCTAATACAATATTATCCCAGATAGTCCCCCATCCATTTCCATCCTTTTTACTCAACTGAAATTGCATTCACCAGAGACTCCGGTGATTGCTTACAAGCAAAATTTGTAAAAAGTTATTTATTCTCATTCTCCTTCAACACCGTCTACTTTTCTGTTCTTGAAATCTTATTATCCTGTTGTGTTGCCCTGCCTTTTTAGTTGATGCTTCAACTTGTCCTCTGGTGGAATCTTAAGATGTATCTTTGACATCTATTCGTGAAAGTCTAATTCACAGCTCAGCATCAACATGGCTATACTGCATCTTCTCTTCTCTCCTCTGCAGCTTTATGTATTTTTTTTTATCATTCTGTATAATGTGACTGTCCTGTATTTCACTCAGGCCCAGTGCCTGTGCATCCAATTCAAATTGTTATGTAAATTCTCCTGTCTGTAGGTCTGGCACGCTCTCTCTCCAATATCTGAGGTGCATTTCCTATTACCTCAGTTTGTCACTTAAGAGCTCACCTCTCTCAGTGTAATGCAAACCTCCATTGCCTACATACCCCTTTGTTGGCCAGTTTCTTTGTACTTTCCTTGCGTTTCTGCTTCTCACAACAGGTCATACTGTAAATCCTGTTCATATTGAAGGCAGAGCACAACTGCTGTGCTGCAGCTTATGTCACTGGAAGAAGTGTCACCATGCCGGTGCAGTATTTGTGCAGGCTGATTAGGCACGTTAAAGAGTTGAGGGGTTGTACTTGAGTGGGTTTCCTTCATCATCTGCTTGAGTATATGTTGATTCTGTTATTCTGCTTCTGTATTCTGTTGTATGTATTAAATATTTGTATCACAGTTGTACCTGGTGTCCCAGGTGAAAATTCCCTTGGGGCTAGATATTTTATGCATGCATTTCTTTTTTACTAGCAAATAATATTTGTGACATTTACTCAACTAAATATTATGTTTCTTATGTTTGAAGTTGTAACTCTTCCTTTTGATTATTGCACTTGAACTCTCAAAGTGTTTGTTGTGGGTTTTGTTTTTTTTTTTCTTGTAATGGATGCTTTCCCCTACCATTAGCTTAAAATGTCTTTGTTGTAGGACAGGATCTTCTAAGTGATGGAGCTTGACATATAGTAGAATTGTTTGGATGGCATATTAGATAGGAAAAAGTAAAATCCTACAGTTATACCAGTGGAAAGCTGCAAACTGATTAATTGGGGGGTTTTTGTGGTTCAGTAAATCCCTTGGTCAACACAGGTAGACTCATTACTTAGTATCACTAACCTTGAATTGCAGAACAGTTTGAGTAATCATAGTCTTCATTGACCTGTAAATGTTTGCATTCAATAATTCAGTATGTTTTTTAAAAATTGCAAGATTTTCAGAAGACTAGCAGTTACTGACATGCCAGTAAAACACATTTGTAAACTAACACCTGCACAGTAATGTTTATGTGAACTTCCATACACTTTATTTTTAGAGGTGGAAAATACATTGTACAATACTCTGACCTTAGCATTTTCTTTTCTGCATAGCCTTCTGTTGCCATGTTGAAATGCAACAGTGATAAGTTTTTCTCATACTGTAGTTCTCTTTCTAAATTTGGGGTTTCTTATAAGGGAAGAAGGGGTTTCTGTGGGAAGAAGCAGTAAATAGGTTATTTCTGTTTTTTCCTTTTGATTTGCATGTTTAATTGCTTCAAAGAGAAATAACCTAAACATTCATTGCAGGATATTTTTTTCAATACATATTCAGTGCAAATCATTAATCATGCATTTAAGTCTGCCAATTGGATCTAATCTGATTGGATATTATATTAGTTTTAATTGCAGAACCCATTAAACTCTGAAAGGTGACAATCTTTACACCAATAATATATATTTGTGACTTAAAAGGGGAGATAGTACAACAAAGCTGAACAAATAACATTGCGTGATGTTGTCTCTATTGAGCTCAGTTTTCACTTCTCATGTTTCCTATGGCTACAAGCAGTGTTGTATGGTCTTAGAATCCATGGGTTTGGGGAGCTCATCCTCTTGAAGAAATTCCTGATCTTAGGAACAAATGAGTTAAATTCCTGTTTTTACCATTGTCTTCCTGCATGATCATAAGAAAATCCTCTAATATTGCTGAACCTGAGTTCCTGTCCTGAAAATTAGGATATATATTTTTTTGGCAGTTCACATATAAATCCTAACCAAAGGCAAGTTATATTTGGTGTTGCATAGCCCATCTGTTTGCTGCTTATCTAGATCTATCCTGATTACAATTCAAAGAAACTCTGGGAAACATTGAAAACACTGATTTTCAGCAAGTGGTGATGTGGCGAATTGAAATTGTTTTATTTTAACTTTTTACGCAGGTTCATGGAATTGCAGTCCAAAGTGAAAAGTTCATTGGTTAGAATTGTGAAAATAAGAGCAAATCTGACAAGTCTACAGGTCTGATTTACACTGATTTATTTTTTTAATCTACTTTTAATATAGGATTTGAAATAAAAAATAAAATCTTTTATGCAGCATTTGAGTTTTAAGAAATAGGGAAGCCAATAAAATACTTGAAACCACACAGGTTTGACTTGGAAATCCAGAAAATGCAAAAAAAGCCCAGAACTTAGTAGAAATTTTTTTTAAAACTAGTGGAGTTGCTTTTCCAAGTACACCATTTTTGATTTGTGTCAATCCGCATTTTGTACACAAATAAAAGCATATGAAATAGTTATCAATTATTATTTATAACTTGAGGTATCAGTCATTGCTACATAGATTGTTATGTCCTTGGTGTTTAAATATCCCTTTTTGTTGAAGTGATTGTACTCTTTAATTTACCACTAATGTATCAGCAGTCTGATTAATACGTGCTAAAATGCAAATCACTTTGCTGTTTTATTCATATTTTGTTTCTTGAATAAATTTAGCAGAAGGTTCGTTGTGAGTACACTGATTTTTTTTTCTCAGATATTGATATACAGCAAAGTATTGGTTTATTTTACTTGCATATGTGGTCTGACAATGTTTTATTTACAAAAAAGACTGATACTGATTTAACATATTTTAATTGAAATGTTTATTTAAAAAACGCTGTTGAAAAATCCTTTATGTTTCTCCTGAATCTCAGGAGATAGTGCATGGTTTTAGGTCTACCATGAAATGCTGAGGAGTATGTTCAATAGAATCTTAAATGCTTGTAGATTTCCATTTTACTAACATATTATAGCAAGCTTGTACATGTGCCGAGGTTGCTTTTCTGGGGATCAAGTGTTAATCTGTTCAAACAGCTGAAGACTTACGAATGAAGCGTAAATAACAGGAGATTTTTAAGTAACACTTTAAAAGGCACCTGAATGCCATTTTCAAAAGTAGCATGTGTTCTTACACCCTTAAACTTTTTAGTCCTTTTGACTTTCTGTGAGATGGAGTCTCATACATCATTTAGAGCTTATGAAGAATTTCCAAACGTTCTTTCTTTCAGATGTTTGTAATAAGTTGTAGACGTCTAAGTAGGCAGTTTGGGAATGAGATTTAACAATGTTGTTAATTATGTTTTTTTCCAGGCTTTAGAGGGCAGTAGAGAGCTTGAAAATATTATTGGTGTCTCAGACTTGTCTTGCATCTTGAGTGCTGAACTGCAGAAAACCCAAGTGCTAAGTAAGGAGGATTTTCAATAATATTTATCCCCTTTATAACAATTTAGCAATGGTCACTCCAAGCGTTTCCTAGAGTCATACCCCACTCTGTGTTATAATGGAGAGTTATACCCCAGGACTCCGACATGCGAGTTCTTTTGGTTGGGACAAAGGCACCTTAAATGTCCTTGTGCATCCAACCAGGGACATAAAAGAAAGGCAACCCCAACGGTCCACTCTTCGAACTCACTGTCACAGATGGGGAGGAAAAACTTGCAAGAGCAACACCTTTTCTCATGTAAATAGTTAGATACTTAGTGGGTAGTTAGCTAGTGATTAGGCTAAACGTTTGCACTTTGATTGCATTGCCTTTCTTCTCTTTTTGCAAGGAAGTTGTTTTGTTTGTTTGCCTGTTAGGAGGATTAGGCTGAACATAGGTTTCCAGGCTTTAAAAGTTGCTATTCATGTGTCTTTAAATGATGGACATACCAGATGCTTATTGTGTTGGGATAAGGGCGCTTTACAAGTGGCATATCTGCAATACTTTTCCAAAAGAACCCAGAAAGCAGCAGGTTTTCGTTTTTATGTGTCCATTTTTAGGAAACTTTTTATCCTTACTCAAAATCGGAGGGTCTTGGGACATGGAATCCTCAGCAGCAAAAAGTGCATTCTTTTCCCACCTGCCTCTGCAACTGGAAGGGTAGTATGTGATGGGGAAATATTCTAATGCAAAAAGTTTGTGTTAGGATAATAGCAGGAAAACAAATTTGCTTTTGGGGAGAAGAAATAAAGATCTCCCTTACCAGGTCATTCCTTTAAAAGTTAAAAGTGATGGGAGGTAACTGTAGGCACCGAAGGGGTCCCAGTCTCTATGCCTCAGAACAGTTTTGTTCATTTGTTTTCACAAGAGCAACACCTTTTATCTGTACCCACGTGACACGTTTGTGGTACAGCTGTGTGTCTAAGACTGCATTTACTTATTACTACGCATTTACTTATTACCACTTCTCCTCGAAGGTTTGCATATATAACATCGCTCTTGCAGACTTTTCATACCAACCTCTGATAATCTAGTTTCCAGCTGACCAGGGAATATGAATAATGTATGCATATACCTCATCCCTGTGTCCAGTCTTTGGACAAGCATGCAAAAAAGATAAAACAGTTTCTTAACCTGCAGCAAATGTGATGTTTTGCTGGTATACATTACTCTACAACCTGTCTGGTTGCTCTGTTTTCTGCAGAGCACACTGGAACTAGCTCTAGGAGGGCAAAACCCAGGGTGACTGGGACTGCTATTTTGTTCGCAGTTGGAAACAGGGGGACAGTAAAGGCACAGGAGCTAGAGAATTTTTCTCACCAAGGAGCACTATGACTCTTCTAATGCATTAGGTGCATGAGTCCCAGCAGTGGAATTTATGCACCGCACAGTTCCAGCAGCTACTGTTGTTTAAATGACCATTTCTTTCCTGACTTGTATTCCAGTGCTCATTCTGTTTTCATTTTGCATGTGTATACACTGTACTAGTTCCCACTGTAATGCATATAACCAGATGCTTTCTTATACAAAATGGAGTTTTCTGAAAATAGTCTGTGTTTACATTACTACCCTACACTGTGGATAGGGCAGTAAGACTGCCCAAATGAGATGTCAGACCTACTGTTGAGATTTTGTGTTACATCCACTCTTTGTTAGCTTCTTGCTTTCAAAATGGGAAGGAATCATCTTCCCCTCGCCCATCTCTGAATTGGGAACAAAGCACCATGTCAGCCCTAGAAGACAAAATTGGGAACAAAATGTGGTATGAGGCTTGTAAGCACAACTCCTCAAAATTCTCTTAATTTTGAAAATGTTTTGTTAATTTTTTTGACCACAATACATAGATAAGCATGTGGTTTTGTTATCCCTTGAAGAAAAATACGAATGCTTTGAAAGTGAAAAAGGAGGCATTGGTATTTTTTTCTTTGAAATCTCTGGGGCAACTTTTATTGATTTCAGATTTTTTCATTTGACTAGTGAGTCAAGCAGAAGAACTGCAGCTGTTGAAAAAAAGCCATGGAAAACTTCCTGCCCCAGGTAAGAAACTTTTTATAACTCCTGTGTAACATATGTTTTGACGATTCCTTTTAGTTAATTCCTTCTTAGTCCTTTCCACTTAAAATAAGCTGGGTAACCTTTAGTATGTGAAAATGGCGATAATCAAATGTGTTTCTTCTGAGCATGCAGGCTAGCCTAAACTTTTGCACTACTCACATGTAAGTTTCATCTTTTCAGCTATTTTCATTGTGTTGGGTATTTCTCCATAAAACTGTGCAACGAAAAGAAATGGTCTTTCTTACACTTGAGGTATGGTCTAGAAATAAGTGCAGGCAGGTCATAGAGGGTTTACATACCTTTTATGTATATCAGCTATCCTTGTTCCTCCTCGCTCTTCTCCTGTATTTCCAGTGTTTAAGCCAAGTAGCATACAGTCTTTGCAGCAAAACCTCTTTCACCTTATATGTATTGTGAGGTATTTAGCACACTCCAGGGGACTGTGAAATCCTAACTATTAGGTTTCTTCATAACTAGTGCTGTGAAAATATTTGAAGTTGGTGGCATTTAATATAGTGTGGCCCTCATAGCCACTTTAGTGCCTTGTCTAGCTGGGAAGGTGGTGAGGGGTAGGGGATACATACAAGATTTATTCTTTTTCTCTCACACCCAGTGAAATCAACAAACATTCACCACTGATATTCTGATATTTCTGTTATCTTCATGCATTCTATCTTAAAATGGAGCAAAACCAGAATCAAAATCAGTGATGGCATCTCTACTGATTTGCCTGCCAGCTGTCCCAACCAGTAGGACTGCTTCATATCGTAAGCAGCCACTTTGATTTTGGTTGTATCTGTTCTTCCACAGGCCTCAGTTCTTTCTGCTGTGGGGAATTCTCTTAAAGAAAAGAAAATTGATCAAACTTAAGTTTCCTCAGCTCCAGCAGATTACTGCAAAATGAAAAGGAGTGACTTCACTTTTTGAGGAATTTGGCTCGTTTGTGCAATCTGCTATTTCTGATTTACAGCTCCCTATGTCCTTCTGTTCAAATGATCTCAGCCCCTGTCTGGCACTGATAATGGTGAATGCTATGGGCCATTGCAGATTTAAACAGTCATTCCCTCCTTTGTGCACTGCTTTTTAATGTTCACCAGGATATACATTTATAGTTCCATCTTTGCTCTAGAAATTAGCCCCTAATGCTAAACATCTGTCCAGACTTCTTAGATGAGAAATGAGCTATTTTGTGAAAGTAAGATGGAAAATAGAATTAGGAGTTTAAGTTGACCATTTTGATGAAGTTTCAATGTCAATTTTGCTTTAATAAAGAATAAATTCAATTTTTCAGTCTTGAAAATACAGTAGTAGGAGAGGCAAACAAATATATGGTAAAAGAAAAGCGTTTAGAGATGTTTTACTTTGCCTTTTCATTTTGGATGTGGTTTTTCCTAATTATTTTTAATTAGTTATGATCAAGACTTAAAACTTATGACTGTTCTGTGGCTTGATACAGACGGAATGTCACATTTTCATCACATGGTGAGGCATGAAATTTATTTACTTTTCATAAACAACCTCTACTGAAAACAACTTAATACAAAACATTCCTTGCTCAATGGGCAGCATTATGTAGGACTCGGTATATTATTTTGTGTGACCAGCATAAAAAAAGGCATCATTGTTTGTCCATGACTAGCATTTACTGTAAACAAAATATTTTTTAATAGAACGTAAGCAAACTGTAAAGCAGCTGCCAAGAGATGAAATCTAATGGTATGTTGCAGTCCAAAACATGCTTTATGTGTGTTGAGTAGAAATGCATAGGTTGCAATACACGTATTTTAAAGGAAAATTTAATAGGTTCAGAGTTTCAAGGAGTGAAGATAACATTCTAAACAGGAAAGCTACTTAAGTGGGTCGTTACAAATTATACTAATACCTTGCTTCCCAAAAATAAAAACGCTGACATAAATCATGTCCATTACTCCGTCTGCTGTCCAAGTAAGAAACAACAAGAGAGTGTTATAGAAGATCAAATACTTGCAGTGTTAAGGAAAACTATTTTCAGACTGTATCTTGAAATTTCTTTTCTGCGTTGTTGTTCATCCTGCCAAGCCCATGGGCAAATATGATCACCCCTATTAAGTTTAGTTCTAAATGTTCCTAACTTTCATATTATTTTTAATATAAGTGACTGAAGCTTGCACTCTTTGCAACAAGTAGTGGTGGGTTTCCAAGAGACTGGATCAGGGTTAACTAGATGAATTTTCATTTAACACCACTTGAGATGACTAATGAAAGCAAAGCTGGAGAGATTAGGGACCAAGTAATACTGAGTTCCCACTCACCAGTCCAGTTTTTTGAAGACTGTGTATATACAGTGGAACACAAAATCCCATTTCAGAAACACTGCAAAATACAGACACCTCCTTTATTAATAAACAGAGTTCCTTCTCAAGACAGATAAAATGGTAAGAATACAGTATTCCACAGTTTGTCCCAACTCATGTCAGTTTGAGTTTGGACTTTGTATTGGGTCTTTGTGTACAAACAACTAAATGGTTTGGGTCTGGTGGGTTGCTGTGAGTGAGGGTAAATCAAGTTTACAGTATATTTCTACCTCATTCAAAAATAAGGTAGAATGAATTTGCTGACCCTTAGGCATACCTGGGTGTCCATCTCCCACCTATACTTCCTCCTGCTCCTCCTTTGGGATCTTCTGGGGAAAGGGGGAATACATCAGATTTTAGATTAGTATTTTCAAGAACGTATCTGTGGATTTTTCTGACTCTAGAAACCCTAACCTAAAAAAACATGGGTTTTTTTCTCAGCCCACCTTCGTATTCAGTTGCAGGGAAGAAATGTCATTGTACCTTTGCTGGGAAAAGTAAGTCTTATGAACTTTCTGTCTAGCAAATCTGTAGGCCTCTTTCTTGAGAACTGATACATGAGCTGACTGTTCGGATGAACCATATGCTCTAGTTTGTGCAAACCCTACTTCTAGGCATTTAGGATAGAGGTTCTGCTGAAGTTCAGTTCTTGCACGTTTTTAATCTGTTTGGAAAAAGCTCCTAATGCTGACACAAACAACAGTTCCTTAGTTCTGCCAAGGTCCTTTCAGTTAAATCCTAGGCTTCTTGCCAGCAAAAGTTTAACAAGGTCTCCCCAGCAGCCTCTTTGTGGTGTTCATCATCTCTAAAAGCAACAAAGATGATGCTGAAGGAGTTCTTTTCCAGTAGATTATTACTAGATGGAGACTTAGAGCTCATGTTTGCAAATTATATGCTTAAGTTCTGAACACTAAAGGTCAGGTTTGATGTTTTGCCACACATCAGAAATGTCTGCTCTGAGTTCATGTCCCCACACAGTGTTTGGAAGAAAGATTACAGCCATCAGTGCTCTTTCACTTAAGTCCTGCATGCAACCAAGATGCAGGGTGCCCTCCCGCCCTGCTCAGAAAGGCTGTGAGACCAAGACAGAAATTGAATTAAGAATTAATATTTTCTGAATGTCTGAAAATATACTCTAAAACCTGGTATTCAATTGCATTCAAGTTCAGTCAACCTAGTGCCAGAAAGCCTGTATGCCCAAGGCTGTGTAGGCCAGAGCTGACGCCTACACAGACTCAATTTGTAATGCAACTGCAGTACGGAGTACGTACCTGCCTTTATCACAGGGCAGAGAACCCTTCGGCCAAGAGCCTTCTCGTGGCCAAAAGTGGAACAAAGGGGCTGCAGTCGGGCAGCACTTTGCAGGATTTCCTCTAGAAGGGCAGTCACTGTGACTGGCGCAACTTAGGCCCCTGAGGTGCAGGTGAATGGCAGATTAAAGAGAAAGACTGTGCAGATGTATTGTGCACATTCCCAGCTGGTAGATGATTCCTTGGAGCTGATACCAGCTGATGGAAACGAGTGTACCGTTTGAGTGGGTACGTTCTATGTCATTGGTGAGACAGCTTCAAGAAATCATAACTCTGTTCACGTGGTGCGGGAGGGACCTTCTTCGTCTGCTCTTCCACGCGGAAGATCTGTCTGTACTTCTGCTCACAAGGCTTTTCTACAGGTAGACATGGGGAAAAGTTAATCTCGGTTATGTTCCTAAATTATAGCTTAGTGTGAACACTTGTAAATGGGACTGTGCTAAGCAAAACAGAATTAAGACTGCTTCAGTGCTGAACACGTGAGTGTACGGTTGCACACGAGGACTTAGTGCAACCCACCTGTTTTGTTTACTCATAAGTTATTTTGCAAGTCCTCATGCAGAGACCCAGAGAAATCATTGTGTCCTCCTGCATTTACAATGAATACTAATTGTGAGATTGCCCCAAAATGCACCTTGAGGAGGAACGTGTTACATTCCAGTTGGCATTGTGTGGATTAAAAGCCGTTGTTGCTCAGGCTAAATCTGACTGTTCTTATTCTCTCATTCTGTGCAAGCAGGTCTTTTTTTAGTTTGTAACCATGCAAAGTCCTTTACAGTCTAGAAGAGGTAACAAAACCAATTAGCCTGTACCCAAAATCTGCAATGCTAGTGATTTTCCTAGGACAAGGGAGTGATCTTGTCTACTGAAAGAATGCTACTGAAAGGTAAAGGAGCTGGTGGACAGGTTTCTGTTTGACCCCCAAATGCTGCGCTCTCTCCCAGCAGGTTATGGGTCTGTTGGATCGTACCTGCACCTTAAGAGTGCGTATTTTAAAACACAACCTGAGACTCGAGAAGTGTCTGGTTCTGAGGTCACCAGCATGATAAGCTTTTTGGATGGAAGGAAGGGGGCAAATTACAAACCTCTCCAATGATTTAACATCCTCCGCTATGTAGATGAAATATTAAGCTATTAACTTTTGTGGCAGATCCAGAAATGCACATGAGACATATGACTATAGGCCTCAGACGTATATACATATAGAACTGTCAACCTGCATTTTATATTTAGGTGTCAGCCACATTTATTCATGAATTTCACAGTTGTGTTTATACTCTCTTTTCCTATGTACCTTTTTACAGACACAATAGCTATTAATTTTTAATTCTAGTGGATCTAGACTTTAGAGTATTAAGCTTAATGAAAAATTAAAAAGAATTGTAGTTCTTTCAACAGCTACGTGTAGCAACCCCTATGTGAGAATAAATACTGCTTTCTCCCATGAATATAATTATTTTAAGTAAAAAAGAAAAGAAACATTAGTTTGGACTCACTTAGTAGCAATTATATGTTTAAGAGGTGTAAATAACTTGCTATCCAGACATTACAAATATCCAGGTGCTCTGTATGTGCTGATGACAACAAAATTGAAAAGAAAGACTGTAATAATTCTGACTGGTTTTCTCTGCAGAAGATATTGATTATTTGTGTGTGGTGAGAGATTTGGAAAATTCAATTAAAGGAGTTGTGCAAAGGTTTCATAAATTTTCCTTGTACAGCGTGTACACAGACATTGTTGCGTATTAAATCAATGCAGCACTTCACAATATATTTTCTTTGAAACATAAAAATAAATAACATTTAAACAGTTCTGCTTACTACAGAAACAAATTTTATTTTCTGTGAAGCATTTAGTCATGTGCTATCACTGACTCATACACATTTGCCAGCTGTAACAAATTTTATAGACGTTTTCTCCAGAGACATAGCTCATATACTATGAATTTTTAAATGAGCAAATGGTGAAGAAGGGATGTCAGCAATATAAAAATTGATCAGTTAAAAGATAAAAGCATAAGTAAAGAGATTTGTATGGTAGTCTTAATAGGTTTTATTAAATAAAAATACTATAAAAAGACAGTAATGAATAGACTGAAGGTTTTAACTGTGGTTGAGGTGGAGAAAAATTATTCTGGCACATTTAGTAGAAGATTGGTTTTATATCACCTGACAGGTGAACATTTTTTTTCTCTCTGCTTTTTAGATCTGTAAATGTTTTAGAGCAGTCAAACTTGGGAAAGAATGGCGGTGGAAGTAGGAGGGGGAAAGAAACTTGGGAAGATTCTGCCCTTTTAATGCTTTTGTGGACTGGGGACAGGAGACACCATGGCAAAGGGCAGCCAGGGGTGACGTTTCTGGTCGCTCTCCAGCTGCTGCCTTACTCTGTGCAAGCCTAAAACATTGAGCTGGGGGGACGAGGGCAGGCTGGTCCCGCATCCAGCTCGTGCTTGTGCTGCTGTCGGCTGCAGCCCAACTGTCCTTGTGGTCACCTCCACAGATGCTGGCCTTGCCTAGCTGCTCTGGTCACAACAGATTTTTCATACGGAAGTTTTGCTGATGTTCTCTTTGCTTTTATGTAGTTTAACTTACTTAGCAGTTCTGCATATAAATATTGCAAGCGAGAGAAGGGGTGGGGGGGGTGGGGTGTCTGTCTTGTTGGGGTTTTTTTAAGAGCAACTCATCTTCATAAGCTCATACATCAAAAAAAAAAAAAAAAAACCCCAACCCCAAAACCAAAAAAGCTTAAACTGCTACAACAAGCATTGTTAGTTTTTTTGAACATATGAGTAGTAAATCATATTATTTGACTATTTGAATATCTGTATCTTAATGACATCTATATAAATATTACTATAAATAGGGCTGTTTTGTCAAAATATGCTGTCACGGTATATGTTTGAAAAGAAAGCTGGGTTAATGATGTTTTATGTGAATCTGGCCACCTTACATTTTTTAAGACAGCTTCTCAGAGTGAAGTGTGGATCTTGGCATGGTTGCTTTGGTGTGTATGGGTTCTTTAAGTAAGTACTGCATAGTCAGAATGCTGCAATCGGTGATTAAAGCATTCATAAAGACTGAATTAGGAAGTTGCATTTAGCACAAAGAAACCAAAGAAGAGTAACTTGTAATTAAGATGTCAGTCTTCTTCTGTTACTTGTCATGCAAGACCAGACAGTGTTCTATTTTAAGCATTAGGTTTGTGATGATAATCTGTATAAACAAATGGTGTTTATTAAGTATAATGCTAAAAAGTTGTACCTGAGGGAAAGTTGGACTGGATGCCTTTTTTTTAATGCAGTAACCTTATTAAGACCTAGCTTAGGAGAGAATTTCTGGCTTGGTCTGGGTCAGCTCCAGGTAACATCACCAGCACCTCATGTCAGATCCACGGGCAGGTCTTTTGCATCACGTCACATACAGGAAGCGTGCGGCACCTAAGGAATCACCGCACGCCGTCTGAGGGGCACTGAGGAGAATCTTCCCCACCACTACCCGTGTCTTTGATGTCTCTCTCCACTCTAGGCTTATACGCAGCCCTTTTCCTCACAGCAGGTGTTCAAATTTTTAGCTGTAAGCTGCTGTACATATGTGTGTTGTTCTCAGTATGTTTAATAGAGTAATTCTGAATTCTCTCTTCACCCTTTTGTGGTGGTGGAATCAAAATGCAGTAGGAACCATCAGCAGACACTAAAGGTACTGAGACCAGAGCTGATCACCAGCTGCAGAAATGGCCATTTGGCAGTTTTGGCACTTGGATGCACCGGCTCCCAGACCCTTTGCCCCGATGTTGTCATTCCCCAAGTTCCTCTCTACCCTTGGCACAGTTTTCCTCTGCGTTTTCCAGCTGCCTGCTCAGCCCTTCACCCTGGCCCTGCCCTCCTTGAGCAGGGGCTCAGGTGTGGTTGCTGCTCTTTTTGCCATCCCCTCAGAGGAGCTGGGGTAGGGCTGATCCTTTCGTGCAACCCTTGATTGGATTCTGCTGACCCTGCTGATACAGTCCTTGCAGATATTTATTTTTTCTTTTATTACTAATAGCAAAAAAGGAGGACCAGCTTCTAGTACCTGTAACAGATCCTGTTCTGCTTTGTCATCATTGGTAATGATGTAGCATATGTGCATACACTCACAAGTAATTAAGACAGTTTCCTAAATTACTGTTGAGAGGTAGTATCAAGTAAAAGGGGTTCTGTTAACCACTGCAGTAACTTACTTAACTCAAATTTGTGCGGGGATTTTCACAAATTCTGTCACACCACCATAGTTCTGCTTTTCAAAACCGGTGTTCCTCCTCCACAGAGTATGTTCAGGCTGCCAGCAGCTCTGCATTCCTGAAGTCGCTCCTTGACTGAGGTAAGTAGTCCCTCGGTCCGCTGTGTGGCTTCTCCAGCTGCCACGCACAGGCAGCATGACCTTAAGCACTGAGGTACTTACTCTTAAAACATTTGCAGAGTCATCTAGTACCTAGGCCTGTTGATGGGAAAAGTTGTTGCTCTGCATGTGGTATTTCTCGTTACTGGTTTGTTAAGCACAACGATATACTGAAGCTGTAGAAACTCTGTCCCACTCTAAAACATCCAATAGCATTTGTCCTCGTCAGCCCTGCCAGTTTCTAACTGGATGTGTTTTCAGGAAGGGCAATTCAGCTGTAATACATGTAACAAAAGCAAGAAAATTTGCATACTTCAGATGCCATGACCAATGCCCTGGAATTCACCAAGGAAGCTGCCTCCTGCAGCCCTGCTCTGCTGTTGATGGTGGGGGCACTTCACTGCCCGGGCTCTGGCTTTGCTTTCCTGCAAAGCTGCGCTGTGCACCCTTCTGCACTGTTACCAGCACACAGGCAGACTCCGCCACTCACTCCTGGCAGGCTGTACGCAGCCAGCCAGAACAGCTGCGCCAGCCCAGGGCCTCCAAGCGCTGCTTGTTTTGAAGGGAGGACAGTGGGCTGTGGGGCTGGTGGCCCGGCTGAAATAGCAGGAGCAGCCCACTTCCAAGCACCCCCTTCCCCAGAAGCATCTCACCCTCCTGTTCCATCTCTGCACATGCACCCCAGCCAGGCTGGGCTTGCTGCTCATCAGTCCACCACATCAACTTCCTTAGCACTCCCAGAGTAGAAAGCATAAAACAATTTACTAACAGGTACCTCAAGATGTGTTTTACACGTTTTTAAATTCTTCCTCCTTTGGCTACTCGTCTTTGTTCTACTGTTGTAAGCAAAAGCCTGGTTAGCGACTGACCTTGTCGAGCATCATGTTTACCTGTGCGTGAGAAAACTGGTTGTTCATATCTTCCATTAAGTCTGGTGAGACAAAGAAGTCTCTAAAGATGAGAATGTCCACCAACTGTATCAATTCCCTGTACAGTGTGAGAAGAGAACATCTCTCCCTTGGAAAGTTATTCTAATTGTGTAGTCAAGGAATATAGGAAAGCAGATCTACAGGTTTTTACAAGCTGTGTAGCCGAGTTAGTGCAGGGGTGAGCTCAGACCCAGGCATTTTGCTTCTCAGTGAAGGTTAAATCTTACTTTGTAATCACAAATAACCTAGTAGCAAAAAAAGCCTTTAAACCCCTCTTTGTCCACAAGCTAATGTTACTCTTAATAGCCGTTAGCTGCTTATGCCAGAGATTCTGTCTACTCCTTCCAAACCAACTACCCCACCAACGTAATCGAGGGATGGAAACCAGTGCAGGAGAGCAGAGCTAGCATCCTGTTTAGCAGCTCATTTTCTCCACTCAGCATCATTTCTGAGTCCTACAGAATGCAGGGAGTGACCTTGCTGTGGTGCTTGAGCTAAACTCACACTGACCACAACTACAAAGCTTCCATTCGGAGTTAGCTCAGAGAGTGCTCACATCTCTACTATTAGATCCTATTGTCTATTGGCACCTTTTGTCCAAACCCAGACACATTTGCTTTTTCTGTTTGTCTCTATCCCTGCCCAAGTGTGACCAACACTGTAAAGCCCTTTTGCTTTCTTAGTGTTTAAAAAAAATATATAGTTGTGATTGATAGCTATATATCTTTTAGCAATTATTTCTCAACTTTTTCTACTGATAAAAACCACAGCATTTCCTTAAAAAAAAAAAAAAAAAATCTTAAAAGTGTTACTGTTCAATCTAATCAGAATAATATCTGTAAAGAAGAATGGGGACCGTGTGTACTATGGGAAGCTTGGATATCCATCTGGTTTTTTATACCACAAATCAGTGTCTTGTTTATAGGTGAGCTGATTAAACTTTACTCATCCATTTTAATAGATCCTCAGTAACAGTTTCACTGAAATCAGCATGAGTAATTCATGTCGGGTATGACTCAGGTGGGGATGTGCGTGTTTCTGTGGCAGGAGGCAAGTAGACTCCTGGCTTAAAAATTTTAAAGCCCTTTTGCTTTCTTAGTGTTTAAAAAAAATATATAGTTGTGATTGATAGCTATATATCTTTTAGCAATTATTTCTCAACTTTTTCTACTGATAAAAACCACAGCATTTCCTTAAAAAAAAAAAAAAATCTTAAAAGTGTTACTGTGGTTCAAAGGAGACGCTCTGTTGCTCTGCACTGCCTTGGCTATGTACGTACTTTTTATGCAGCGAGGCTAGCACCGGACGCAGGAGACACAGTTCTGAACAGATCACATGAATGATGCTGTTGCTGTCTAATTGCTATTTATTTTAGTCATTCCTTATCTCCGCACAGGCATTATGTGAAAAATGCATTCCACATCAACCCAAAGTTCTACATCTGCTTGACTGTACTTAAAAGGAGAGAAGAAATGACTGTAAACCTATCTCCCCAGCAAATACCAGTTTGGGATTGCTCGTTGCGCTAGGCAGGTGCACATCTAGATAAAATTTCTGGCATCTATTTAAACTTAACAATGTGCACAACCAGATAATCTCAATGTAAATAATACATCATGGTGGTTTTATGCAAGCATGTGTACAAAATGCTGATTTACATTTGCTGCTGCATGGAAAATAAACTATATTTTCTGCATGTTCTTACTGCAAATATATAATTATGCTACCTTATATTTTTTAAAAAGAAAAAAAAATAAACACACAACCTCCCAGAAAAATCCCCACTCTAACCCTCCCCACAAGAACTGGGTGAGAAGAAACCACGTCAGAAGATGGCCTTTGGTTCCCAGGCCTCCAGTGGGAAGTGGCTGCTTCCTGACAGGGTGGGGGGTGCATGTGTGCGGGCGCCCTCATTTAATCAGTGCCTTACCCCCAAAAGCTAGCAAAATGTAATTTAAATGAATGCATCTACTGGTGCAGCAGCCTAACACTGGATGACTACTTCTAGTAACGACTGGGCTCAAGAGCCAGAGGCAGCAATATTGTGCAAAGAATTACTCTGAGTGTGGAACACGTCTACAAACAACAGTTTTTCTGTCTGTGGCTGCCACAGTTAGTTAGGGACGTGTTCGTCATCCACAAAGATGTTTCCTCCGAAGTCAACCCCAGACACACTATGTAACGGTATCAGCTTCAAGCCCACAGCAGTAAAACACATGGCTCTAATAGTAATATTTGCTTTTTAAGTGAACTTAGTTTAGTTTTGGTATTTAATGATATATGGGGGGAGTTGTTATAAACCAGTTTCTTCTCTTTTTCATTATCCTCAAAAAACCTCCTCTCCAGCCTAGTGAATCCCCTGCGTCTCAACTGGGTACCTCCTGTTAAAGACTGAAGTAGCATGATTTTTTTTTTCCCCCCAGAGAGCGAAAGTTCAACATAAATGCACAGAATTGGCCATCCTTTCTTGCTACCACTGCAAAGTACTGCTACTCAAACAGATAAACTGATCTTTTACAACTACAATTCTGAGAACAAAATGATAAATGTGTTCCAGTTTGTGGCTAAACATGTATATACTCAAGCTTTGGGAGTTTTAATTAATAAAAATGTTTTTGCACTATGCAGTCTGACTGTTAAAACTGTTAGGAATTGTTTGAAGAGGATTGTGTCGGTTCCTGTTTACCTTCCACGGCTTTCTCGTTTAAGCTTTCTCTGCTGTTGGGTTTTGGCGTGCATAGCAGATTCACCAGCCGCTCGCTTTGCATGAGCACGGAAGGTTAGCCTGGGCCAGCAATGGTGCCTATAACCCCGGTGCCTATAACCCGACTGCAACCCCTGTAGCTGGAAATTAAGTAACTGTTGATCTGGAAAGAGTCTGTAAGCAAACTGTAAGGCAGTCTAAATCAAGCTGTTCTGTGTAGCTTACAAGAACAAAATAAAACTTTACAGAAAATAACAGTAAAGGTGATGATGGACAACAGTGAGTTACAGCAGCAACCATGGCAGTTATCGAATGCCA